CTATGAACTTTTCAGCCCACTCTCATAAATATAAATAGCATCACTCCTTCATAGTCAGCCTATGAACTTTTCAGCCCACTCTCATAAATATAAATAGCATCACCCTTCATAGTCAGCCATAAACTTTTCAGCCCACTCTCATAAATATAAATAGCATCACCCTTCATAGTCAGCCTATGAACTTTTCAGCCCACTCTCATAAATATAAATAGCATCACTCCTTCATAGTCAGCCTATGAACTTTTCAGCCCACTCTCATAAATATAAATAGCATCACTCCTTCATAGTCAGCCTATGAACTTTTCAGCCCACTCTCATAAATATAAATAGCATCACCCTTCATAGTCAGCCTATAAACTTTTTCAGCCCACTCTCATAAATATAAATAGCATCACCCTTCATAGTCAGCCTATAAACTTTTCAGCCCACTCTCATAAATATAAATAGCATCACTCCTTCATAGTCAGCCTATGAACTTTTTCAGCCCACTCTCATAAATATAAATAGCATCACCCTTCATAGTCAGCCTATAAACTTTTCAGCCCACTCATAAATATAAATAGCATCACTCCTTCATAGTCAGCCCATGAACTTTTCAGTCCACTCATAAAATATAAATAGCATCACTCCTTCATAGTCAGCCTATGAACTTTTTCAGCCCACTCTCATAAATATAAATAGCATCACTCCTTCATAGTCAGCCTATAAACTTTTTCAGCCCACTCTCATAAATATAAATAGCATCACCCTTAGTATAAATAGCATCTCATAGTCAGCCTATGAACTTTTCAGCCCACTCTCATAAATATAAATAGCATCACCCTTCATAGTCAGCCTATGAACTTTTCAGCCCACTCTCATAAATATAAATAGCATCACCTTCATAGTCAGCCTATGAACTTTTCAGCCCACTCTCATAAATATAAATAGCATCACTCCTTCATAGTCAGCCTAAACTTTTCAGCCCACTCTCATAAATATAAATAGCATCACCCTTCATAGTCAGCCTATGAACTTTTCAGCCCACTCTCATAAATATAAATAGCATCACTCCTTCATAGTCAGCCTATGAACTTTTCAGCCCACTTTCTCATAAATATAAATAGCATCACTCCTTCATAGTCAGCCTATGAACTTTTCAGCCCACTCTCATAAATATAAATAGCATCACTCCTTCATAGTCAGCCTATAAACTTTTCAGCCCACTCATAAATATAAATAGCATCACTCCTTCATAGTCAGCCTATGAACTTTTCAGCCCACTCTCATAAATATAAATAGCATCACCCTTCATAGTCAGCCTATGAACTTTTCAGCCCACTCTCATAAATATAAATAGCATCACCCTTCATAGTCAGCCTATAAACTTTTTCAGCCCACTCTCATAAATATAAATAGCATCACTCCTTCATAGTCAGCCTATGAACTTTTCAGCCCACTCTCATAAATATAAATAGCATCACCCTTCATAGTCAGCCTATAAACTTTTTCAGCCCACTCTCATAAATATAAATAGCATCACTCCTTCATAGTCAGCCTATGAACTTTTCAGCCCACTCTCATAAATATAAATAGCATCACTCCTTCATAGTCAGCCTATGAACTTTTCAGCCCACTCTCATAAATATAAATAGCATCACTCCTTCATAGTCAGCCTATAAACTTTTCAGCCCACTCTCATAAATATAAATAGCATCACTCCTTCATAGTCAGCCTATGAACTTTTCAGCCCACTCTCATTTAAACTCTCATAAATATAAATAGCATCACTCCTTCATAGTCAGCCTATGAACTTTTCAGCCCACTCTCATAAATATAAATAGCATCACTCCTTCATAGTCAGCCTATGAACTTTTTCAGCCCAAATCATAAATATAAATAGCATCACTCCTTCATAGTCAGCCTATGAACTTTTCAGCCCACTCTCATAAATATAAATAGCATCACTCCTTCATAGTCAGCCTATAAACTTTTCAGCCCACTCTCATAAATATAAATAGCATCACTCCTTCATAGTCAGCCTATGAACTTTTCAGCCCACTCTCATAAATATAAATAGCATCACTCCTTCATAGTCAGCCTATGAACTTTTCAGCCCACTCTCATAAATATAAATAGCATCACTCCTTCATAGTCAGCCTATGAACTTTTCAGCCCACTCTCATAAATATAGATATTCTTTTAAGTTCTTATTTATTATTCAAGCCTTCTAGACCAACAATATTCTTCTTGACTGCCATATTTGACATTGACAGGTCAGAAAATTCATGAGAGAGAACCTACACTGTATCACTTTAGGAAAAGACATTTCTTAACTTTATCAACTGTAAGTGTCACTTTTATATGGACACTTAAATGTCTCATCATTTTACAGTTGAAATGGGTTGACATAACCGTAAGTTCTATGCTAGCAGTTTCTTCTAACACTCTTCGCTTGTGGAACTCTCTTCTGGCTTTTTGCTTCCCAGTCAACTTTGGTCTTCAAAAATTTAAATGCAATGTCAATTGTTATCATCTATCTTCTTAATTTCTCTTCTTTTATTGTTCTCTCTCTTTAATAATATATTCTTTCTTCATATTATTCCACTCTCAGTACACCCCTTGCATCTTAGTGGCTTTATTGCCTCACTTTATTATCTAATAAAATGTGACACAGAAATCTGAAAGTGCATTGGAATAATAAAGGTGCCTCCAAAAAGCTACACAAAGTATTAAGAAAAAGGAAAATTCTGTTAGAAAAGAAGAAATGTACTGAACTGATATTTACTGTATTTCACTGCTTATAAGATATGGACTAAACACATCCCCAAGGGGAAAATTGGGAAAAAAAGAAGTTTTTTCCTTGTACTTCATAGCCCTCCCCACTATCTCCAATTTTACCCACTGAATATCATATTTCAGCATGAAAACCTGAGAAATTCATCACAGTCCAAAAAGAAGTACCAAATTTATAGTAACTATTTAGTATGTAATATAATTTTAATTCTTGTTCTTTTATTGTCCTTGCTCCTTAATAGTATATTTTTCTTATATTCTCTAATACTCAGTAACCCCTTGCATCTTAATGGCTTTATTGCCTTGCTTGGGTTGAAATGATTATAAAAGAACACTTTCTCTTTACCCAACTTAATTTTTATTAGGGACTCAAAAGAATATTTTGTACAAACCTTTATAATCTTCATTCCTTTTCAATTTAAAACTATTGTAAATAAACAAAGTTTTTCTTTTCAATTTCACACCAAATAAAAGCCCTTCTTTTCTTGTCAACATAGTGACATATTAATTTTTTATGTGAGTAAATCCCCATATTACCAAAAATTTTCTTTTTTCTGATTTTAGATTAATAACTACTTTTGCTAAAAGCTTTTCGGATGGCCTCAAACTTTTGCCATAAGAAATTAGAAATTTTATTAGTGCTTTTGGTTTAAATTTAAATTGCTTATCATTTTCAAAGTTCAAATATAATATTGTTTTATTTTTCAAGTATTTTTTATCTTGAACAGATGTTTCACCCATAATTACAAAGACATTAACTCTTCAGGTTCAAAATCAACCATTATTTATCCGATAAAAATATGGAATTTTTAATAATAAACATCTGCTTTAGATCGCCCACCACCACCCAGCTCTACTTTTAACAATGATTCAAACCCAGGATCTATCATTGGAACAGTTAAATAGCAGGGCAAATTGGTCTATTTAGCATTGGAAGGGCAACAAGTCCCAAAGAAAGACAACTCTTAGTTCAAAATTAGCCTAAAGAGTGATAGCCTACATCATCCCTAGACACATCCTCTGATGTTACAGCTGCAGAACATGTTGCACCTAATGATTTATGTGATTCATAATTGTGACAGTCAGGATCATGAATTCTTCTAAAAAGAAGCAGATCAGCAGCCTCTAAAGATTAATGTATTAGGTTCATGTTATATATGTTTTTATACTTACACATTTTCACAGGCCAATGAAAAGAAAAATCCAGTTTTATAAAGGAAACAGGCCTGTTTCTCATCCCACAGAAAATCAATTACGTCCACATCCTGTAAAGAATTGATTGATAGATTGATGGATTGATTTGCGTTTTATAGCTTATCAAATCTAAAACATGTTTTGGATTGTAAGAATAATTTTTTTTTTGTGAATGAATATTGCTTTAACAATCTTTTGTCTTATCATTTTACAGTTAAATTTTACTGTAAGTTTTTTCTCTTGCACTTCTTACCTATGGAACTCTCAACTGGCTTTTTGCTTTCCAGCCAACTTTGACTTTTGATAATTTAAATGCAATCTCAATCTGTCTCCTTGATTTTTATTCTTTTAATGTTCTCTCTTCTTAATAATGTTTTTTTTTCCCCTTATTCTTTCACACTCAGTAACTCTCTTGTGTTTTAGTGGCTTTATTGCCTTGCTTGTGGTAAAATGATTAAAAAAAATGATATTTTCCAGATACAAGTCCTACTATTTGAAGCTGGGGCAGAGGAAGAAGAGATCAATTCAAGAGTATTTGCACATAAGTGAGTGTAATGAACTTGACTGAAATTTGAACTCAGCACTCTGATTTCTCATTCTAAGCCAATATCCATTACACCACCCACACATCATTTTAGCATGCAAATTCTTACTCACAGACCCAATGACTTGAAGGCTACACCCTCTCTATTCAAAATTCTCTGGCATTAAATGGACAAACACAATTTAAAAGATGGATTAATTTTTATTTGGATCTTCTTGTAATCAGCATTTATGGATTATCAACCTTTTGCAGGTTATTTAAAGCCAGAAAATATTTTTAGATTTTAGACTTTTTTGGTGATAATAATGATTTCTACTGATAAAAGTCCTACTAATTAACCCATAGCTAGGGAGAGAAAAGGTGGATTCATACCTTTCCTAAAGGTATTTGCATGTAAGTGAATATAACGAACCAGACTGGTTTTGGAACTTGGCATTCTGAGTTGCAATTCCAACCTGTTATCCATTACACCATCAGTACATCCAAGCTTACAGCACCTGGTATTTCAAAGTCATCACCCATCTTAGTACTGACCAGGCCCAACATTGCTTAACTTTAGTGATCATACAAGAATCAGTGTTTTAATGTGATATATAAGTTCCACCAAAAATAGAAATTCAAAGTAACTGACATTGTCCTAAGAAATGTTGTGAAATACTAACAATGATATTTGACTGTCACCCATTGAGGTACTGACCAGGCTCAATGTTACTTAACTTTGGTGATCATATCAGGACTGGTGCTTCAACATGATATATAGGTGAAGTTTCATCAAATATAGAAATTCAAAATAAGTGACATTACCCTGAAAAATGCCATGAAGAATAATGAACATACTCAACAGTTACCATCTAGATACTGACCAGGCTCAACATTGCTTAACATCATATTGAGAACTGGTATTTCAACCTGATATGGCTGTAAGAGAGCATGATTCAGAACAAAAAAGAAATGCGATAAGCACTGTAAACAATTTCTGAAATGTTGAAATGAGTAAAACTATTCAAACAAAATAATCAATTTTTTTTATCATTTCCCACTAAGCAAGGCAATAAAGTCACTAATACACAAGGGGTTACTGAGTTCTAGAGAATATGAGAAAAATATACTCTTAAGGAGAGAGAACATTAAAAGTACAAGAATTAAGAAGATTACATACAGAAAATTAATGATGATCTTGCCTTTACTCACTTGTAGAAAACAAATTTAACCAGACATGTATGTGATATCATAGGTAATGAGGTTGTGTAGCTTTAGCAGTGTATCTGTGGTAGCCATAGGACTTTGAAACTGAAAAGTTGTAATACTCTATCGCCAAGGTAACAATTCTAGACAGGCATCACTTAATAAGAGCTAGCTAATCGTTTTTCAAGCAAACATCTATCTGCTAAGGTGACTAGTCAGTCCCTGTTGTACAGATGCCTGCTCAGTCACATTTGTGTTTATTCAACACTCACAATGCACAATGTCCTCTGTGGTTTATACTGTAACTATACTGAGAAAAGCTTAGTTACAGTTTCTGGGAGAGGGTGCATAATCTAGCATGATTAACAGTTTTTTAACAAGGCAAGTATGGTGAAACCATTATATATATATATATATATATATATATATATATATATATATAAATATACATTTTTTTGTCACAGGTAGTGCAACTTTCAAGTTTCATGCACGATGCAATCTTCAGGTACTGATTGATAGCTGACTGTTACATAGTTTTAATTTTGATATGCATACAAGACTATAATGATAGTGGACCAGTCCATGTTATTTACAGGGTGGATTTAAAAATAATAACTGTAAAATAAAGAAATTTATATATATATATATATATATATATATATATATATATATATATATATATATATATATATATATATACATGGTATATCAAACAAAATATACTTTTATAAACTTTGGGGGCAAGTTCCTGATGCCACAACTAGGTTTGGTTTGGTTTGGTTTGGTTTGTTTTGTGGTATATCAACCTCAATAGGTTATTTAATGCTGACAAGATTTTTATTGCTGTTATTATTTTACAGCTGGTACTTTTTGGCATTTTTTGTACAGCTGGTAATATTTTGTTTTCCAAAAATGTATTGCTCATAATAATGTATTGCTGATAATAATTTTTTCTTAAAAAATTTATTGCTGGTAATGATTTTTTACAAAAATGTATTGCTGGTATTAAGATCTATTTTTACACTTTCATAGTGTTGGGGGTTAACTGTTTGCTCATAGCAGGGACCCTAACAGGTGCTACTACACCAGGTCGGAGTGAACATGATCAGAAGCCTTGCTCTTGGACGTAGTTTATCATCTTACCCAGGATGCAGATGTAGTTTATCGTCATACTCAGGATGACCAAAACAAGGTAAAATGTCCATATAAACATATATCCAAAAAGCCATCATTGTACCTTGACTCATAAAAAATGTTCAAAATGTCTTACGCTTGCGTCTACACATGCATGCACCTGTCGGTTCATTGACTCATAGACTCTTTCAAATACTCCCACACAATGTTGAATGGTTTTGCAGGTCCCCATGACACTATCTCTGCATTATTAATATCTGCTGCATAAAACAATTGTTTTAGGTGGCCCCACAGATAAAAATCCAAAGGGGAATGTGCAGGCCATGGAACCGATCCTCTTTTATGGCAGGTGTCAGCCAGTGCATCACAAACAATGTGACTAAAATGTGCTGGAGCCCCATCATGCATGAACCACATATTAGCAGGAGTACATCCTCTAGCATATCTGTAAGTGCATTCAAAATAAAGTCCCTGTAGACAGCTCCTGAAAGACATGCTGAGAGAACATATGGCCCTACCAGAAAATTTCCAAAACAAATATCTATGGGGAACTGAAGGCAGGAAATCATTCACAGCACCAGGGCCAGTGCAAGAGTCTCATGGCCAGCCCCCAAATCTATCATATGAGCCAGCAAACTCCCAAATCTTTGATATGTCTCTACACTCTACTACATCTCAATTTTCATAGGCTAGTATTCATATAAAATACAAATTTTATTGTAACCTAATTATGTGCAATAATGGATCATACGCAATATAGGTGAACAGTTCAACTAGAAAAATTGAAAATAAATACAATGTATTTAAATACAAATTAGCGACATGTCATAATAGATCATTCCATCTTAAATAAATCAACAATGTTTTTTCCAGCAATTTTTAACATCAACTTGAGGTTTTTCTGGTTAAAAAAAGTTGAATAATTTTAACATGTTACACATTATGAATAAAAAATAATGAATTTTTTATAGTGTTTTTTTCAGACTTAGCATGAGTAAAAACAAATTCACAGATTTGGACAAAAAAAAGACCCCCAGATCCATGGAAATTTTTCATCCTTTAATAGTCATTCGTGCTTAGATTAATTTGTAATGTATATAAATATAGGTAAACAAAAGCAAATTTGATAAGACAGTGAGGATCACAAAACACTGCCCGGGGCCCCAAACAGCCTTGGGTCACCCCTGGTTGGTATAGTATGCAGCAGCCCTTGGAAGAGGTTTAGAGATCATCTGATGGATAATCTGAATGCATAGCATATGGATGTGCAGCATTGGGAAGAATTAACTTTAAATTGTACAGAGTGGAAGCACTTTATAAGGGAGGGATGCAACATCTTTGATCAGTGTTGTTCTTTTAGCCTTTTACTAGAATTTATAGAATATAAGCCATTCAAACACATCATACCAAAAAGCTCTACTTACATTATATATATAGATGAAATTCCCACATTAAGGTTGAAGCAAGCATTCAATTCACACATGACGGTTGAAGCTAGCATTCAATTCCCACATGAAGGGTGAACCTACCATTCAATTTCCACATGAAGTTTTAAGCTAGCATTCAATTCATACATGAAGGTTGACCCTACCATTTAATTCCCACATGAAGGTTGAAATTAGCATTCAATTCCAACATGAAGGGTGAACCTACCATTCAATTTCCAGATGAAGGTCGACCCTACCATTCAATTCCCACATGAAGGTTGAACCTACCATTCAATTCCCACATGAAGGTTGAAGCTAGCATTCAGTTTACACATGAATTCAAAATAAACATTTCTTACTTCGGCATCTTATTAATACCTAACAATAAAAAATTAGATTTTAAAGTTTATCATAAACTCACTAACAAAAAAGATCTAATTAATTTCTATTCTCACCATAATCAAAGAATAAAATCTGGACTAATCATATGGTTTTACCTCGGGGACCTTAGGATATGTCACCAAGAATACCTAAATGAAGAAGGGAAGTATATGGAGAAAACATTCAGACTTCTTCACTACCCACATCATTTCATCCTCAACACTAAAGCCACAAAGCCAAAAAAACAAACACCATTAATAACATTTATGAAAAAGTAGACCCCAGTTATACTAACTCTTATACAGTGTAACCCGGATATAAGAGACCCGGATATAAGAGACCCGGATATAAGAGAAACCCGGATATAAGAGAAACCCGGATATAAGAGAGATTTTCTTTGGTCCCAAATTAGAGCCTGTGTTACCTAAACAAAATAGACCAAACCCGGATATAAGAGAAACCCGGATATAAGAGACTTCTTCTTCGGTCCCGACAACTCTCTTATATCCGGGTGACACTGTATTATTTAATCAAAGTTTCATATACAGTGTAACCCGGATATAAGAGACCCGGATATAAGAGACCCGGATATAAGAGAAACCCGGATATAAGAGAGATTTTCTTTGGTCCCAAATTAGAGCCTGTGTTACCTAAACAAAATAGACCAAACCCGGATATAATAGAAACCCGGATATAAGAGACTTCTTCTTCGGTCCCGACAACTCTCTTATATCCGGGTGACACTGTATTATTTAATCAAAGTTTCATATACAGTGTAACCCGGATATAAGAGACCCGGATATAAGAGAAACCCGGATATAAGAGAGATTTTCTCTGGTCCCAAATTAGAGCCTGTGTTAATGTATATAAAATAGACCAAACCCGGATATAAGAGAAACCCGGATATAAGAGACTTCTTCTTCGGTCCCGACAACTCTCTTATATCCGGGTGACACTGTATTAGCAAAACATCCAAGAAAATAAAAGTCTGGGCATAAGAGAGACCTACATTGAGACCATCTCTTTAAACTTACTTGTAATACTGTGAAAGAGAAACAGGCCATAAATTTGACTTTATAAATGCTACCCTAATTAGAAATGAACATAATTCATTATGCATGAAATACTTAGAGGGAGTTATGATAAATATCTTATAAGCACATGTCAAACACATTTTATTATCTCACAAACATTATAACATCCCTACTTAAAGATATATCTACCAACAACTACAACCACAACAGGTGTAAATTAAATTCTTCTTAAATTCACTCTCACACAAAATCAACATGCAGACAACCACCAAACATAGATAAAAATGCCTACTAAATGCAGACAAATGAATATCCATTATCATTTGAATCCCGTATAGCCAAACTAGAATTACACATACACACATAAATTATACACACAAACACTGCTTGACAGGATAGATGCACATGAGGTCTGTTTAACCAATGTAAACTAAACAACACAAAAACAAAAATACCAGAATTTGCTTTTCTCCTCCATGTTTCATTTTTTGATGAAGCTTTAATAAATGTAAAAAATTTTAGATTGATAAACGTTTCCCATTCTTCCTCATCTTATCATTCTGCCAGACTGCAATCCATATTTGGTCTATATTTGATTCTAATTTATATACACACACACACACACACACACACACACACACACACACACGTATATATATATATATATATATATATATATATATATATATATATATATGTATAGTAAATTTGACCATTTCACCATTCTTGGCAGCTCTTCTATTATCACAATCAATGCAGGATATTTAATAATAAAGATGATAGAAACACAAAGAAAATTAATCTAAATTAAATTGGCTAGATTATAAACCTACAACACATTATAAAAAAAATAAAAGCCAAAACACATTAGTAAAATTAATTTTTTTTAAAATATTTTCAAATTTTAAGATTCCCATATATATATATATATATATATATATATATATATATATATATATATATATATATACAGGTAATGGATTCATTGGTATATAATCCAGGTGGATACTAATAATTTCAAATATTAAAACTGATCCACAAAGAGAGCTCAATGTATTTATTATTAGTTAGTTACAATTCAACACCTTATTCTTCATATAACGCTAAATTAGGGTCATAAGGTTAATATCTGGGTTGAATCTGTTGAGCCTCTTCCTTTTAGACAGATACCTTCCATCCTCCCCTTACCCCTAACTTGGCATTTTATCTGGCTGAGGCATTGATTTGGGTAGGCTTGGTATCAATTTATCAACTGCAACCTAATCTAAATTCTAAATCTCCAGTACGAAAACAGTCCATCCACTAGGGTCGAATAAGTATTTAGCATTGGCTAAAATAGATTTAGACCCAAATGAAGTAATTTTGGATTTTTCTGGTGTACAATATATATATATATATATATATATATATATATATATATATATAAATTTTCACAATGCTGTTTAATTGAAAGACAATGAAAAAAAATTATATCCTTTAAAAGAATTTCATCTGATTAAATAATGTTCTTATCGATGAAATTATATATGTGTAGGTAGAGTAAAGATGTAAATGAAAACTGTTATAATTATGTATTGAGAGGAAATGCTGAAGATATCAGGACACTAGATTTCAAATTTAAATTTTAATATTTTTGGCGTCTGATGTACCTAAATCAACAGCTCAGTCAATCTCACTTAATTTCCAAACACGGTTATTTTTAAATATCCCACACTGCCACAAGAGATTTAATAAGAAAGATTAAAGCTAAATACAAATTTGCTACAGAAATCAGTGCACTTTATATACATTTTGGCCTCAGTAAATTACCTCCCCTTTTAATTAAAGTAGTATTCCTATAAGTCAAGATTGTAGTCATTTTCATAACAATGAATGCTTAATGGGCTGACTCTGATTTTTGTAAAAGATCTCTTTTGTGCTAATATAATCTTTTATTATTATTCCAAATTTAATAAAAGCAAAACTTATTCCTATTGTTCCTTATCTTATTCTGTTAGATTTCAATCCACATTTGATCTATATTTGATCCCATTTCACACACACACACACATATATACACACACATATATATATACAAATATATATACATATATATATACATATATATACACATATATGTATATATATATATATACACATATATATATATACATATAGATATATATACACACACATATATATACATATATATGTACACATACACACACACACATATATATATATATATATATTTGCTCTGTCTTTTGATATAGAGCTCTCAATGGATCTATATCCCCTGGAAATTCTATACGGATTACCAATAGTTTTATTATTAATATCTATCTCTCTCTCTCTCTCTCTCTATATCTATATATATATATATATATTTATATATATATATATATATATATATATATATATGTGTGTGTGTGTATCTGTGTATTTAGGCAACAAATTCTTTTTAGGTATGTCTGACTGAATAAATTACAGACATTATGCTTCTGTAGCATCGTGGTATCCCACCTGATGAAACGTTAAAAAATCTTTTAATGTTGAAACAAGATGTACAGTTTTTGTAGTGGTTATGTACATATCCTAATGTAACACTGCATAATATATATATATATATATATATATATATATTCAGTTGTATGGATATATATATATATATATATATATGTGTGTGTGTGTATGTATATATATATATAGTAAATTTACGTGCAGCTTCTTACAACATTTCACCATTCTTTGTAGAAATCTCAGCTCTGTGGTTTTGTGACTATTATTACAAGACCTCCTTACTATTGTCATAGTTTCTTTTGCATTTCTTACCTGTGAAACTCTCTTCTGGCTTCATGCTTTCCTCTCAAGTATGATCTTTTAAAATTTTAATGTAACGTCAATCATCATCTGTCACCTTGAATCCCGTTCTCTTATTGTCCTCTCTCCTCAGCCATTTTTTTCTTAGTTTTTTTACTTTAAATAACATTTTGCATCTTAGTGGCTTTATTGCTTCCCTTGTGCTGAAATGGTTAAAAATTATATATTATAGCATTCCAGGCTCTCAACTATTTAGACATCCCTTTGTATAAAGCATTTTATAGTGCAAGACTCTATATTAAATTTAACAAATACCTATATAATTGTGCTGTCATAGTTATAAAAAAATTAAATTAAATTCCACCTCATTATTTCCTCGCTCTGTCTTGGCATGGGGAACTTGCTATGAGCCACTTAATTACTATGACAGTTGAAGGTGACCTTATGCGACCCATGTTACAGTCTGTCATTCGTGCTCTGGCAGATATTACTTGGCACAACAAGGAAGACCCCATCCTGTCTCTTGTCTCCATCAACCAACGACCTTCCATATCCTAAACTGACGGCTTTTCAGGCTTTCAAACTTGCTTCCTTGCTTCCACAGCAACACATTAATAATGGCGGCTGCCAGACATAATTTATCTTCAGGTTATTTTTTTTTAATTCTATTTATTTTTTTTTTTTGCACAATTTTTCTATATAGATAAATAAATGCACTCTTATAAGCAGACTGGTACATCCATGGACACAAACAGACTGATGCTGCTAAGAACATATTGACTCAGATCATTAATTTTAAAGAGGCGGGGGATGGTTAGATAGAAAGCTATATATAAACTGACCAATACAGATTGAGAGATACAAACCTCTTGAGTTTTGACCAAGTTTGGCTTAATCTGGTAAAAGGCGACAGTAGTGGGGCACTCAGCAAGAAACAGAGTCATAATACCAAGTTTTTTATGTTTACTTTCTAACTTTCACTCTATGCTCAGCAGCCTATTTAAATAGATAAATACAAACAGAATAAGATAGATAGATAGATAGATAGATAGATAGATAGATAGATATGAACAGAATGAAATAGATAAATAGATAGATAGATAGATATGAACAAAATGAGATAGATACATAAATAGATATATAGATATGAACAGAATGAGATGGATTGATAGATATGAACAGAGTGAGATAGATAGATAGATAGATAGATAGATATGAACAGGATGAAATAGATAAATAGATAGATAGATATGAACAAAATGAGATAGATACATAAATAGTAATATAGATATGAACAGAATGAGATAGATATGAACAAAATGAGATGGATTTAACAGAATGATACAGATAGATAAATAGATATACAGATAGATATGAACAGAATGAAATAGATAGGTATGAACAAAAGGAGATAGATAAATAGATATATAGATAGACATGAACAGAATGAGATAGATTTTAACAGAATGAAATAGATAAATAGATAGGTATGAACAAAATGAGATAGATAGATATATAGATAGATATGAACAAAATGAGATAGACTTTAACAGAATGATATAGATAGATAAATACATATATAGGTAGATAGATATGAACAGAATGAGATAGATAGATAGATAGATAGATAGATATGAAAAGAATGAAAATGGACACCCTGGAAAATATCATAAAAATCTATTTGCCTTCTAGCTGGATTCCCCAAAACTTTCGACTTTATACCATATCTGAGCTACACTAAGAAAGTCACTATAATAATCTATTTACATCCTCACTGGGTGCCTCCATGCTTTCAGCTTTGTGTCACATCTAAGCTGCATTACAATGTTGGCACCCTGGTAATCCTCAATATTCATCAAATTTTCCTTTCCTCAATAGCAGAAAAATCTATTTACCTAGTGAAGTTATATCAGATTAGATCAACATAAAGAAATATGTGGCATTGTTATTTTTTGTATTTTTAGGTTAAATACATTTACGACTGCATTGTTATATTGCATTGTCCACTTTTTTGTTTATCCTTTGAGGCCCAAGTTAGTACTTGGTGGCTTTGAGGTCACCTTCTACATCAACCCTTCTACATCAACCCTTAGCTTTGACTTTTTGAAATGACATCTAGTACAAAAAAACTCATAATATTCAAGTTGTACTCCTGTTACAGAGTATCATATTTATTTTAATAAAATAGTAAAAATCAAATAATACAAAATTAATTAGTTTTCCAGGCCCCAATCTTAATGTAATCCATAATGTCTGATAAAAATACAAGACTAAATTTTGCATTGTTCCAGTGCCATGCTTGTTCTGGTGTCTCAGTTATTTCCCTTTAACTCAACTATCTAAGTAAAAGCATTGTTTAAATAAAGTGAGTAGACCCAAAGAGTTGTGAATTCAGTACCAGGCTACAGCAGTGGTGAACCAAAAACACTTGGAGAGT